ATTACTTTGCCAACAGAAGTCCATCTATTCCATTTATTTTTATTAGTTGGAGGCTAATTACTTTACAACATTTCAGTGGTTTTTGTCATACATTGAAATGAATTAGCCATGGATTTACATGTATTCCCCATCCCTCCAACTAATAAAAATAAATGGAAAAGAAAAAAAAAAATCCATGGTCACTGGTCAAAGTGCAGCCGCAAATGGGAAGCATTTATGCTGGCTGACAGAATATACTTTGCAGAATTTTATAACAAAGCTCTAAGATCAAATAAATATGACATATTTTTCATCAAAAATTCTTATTTATTTGTAATTTTGCATATTTGTTGATGTGTTCAGTGTTAACTTGGCCTAAATAAAGTTCAATATTCATAAACACTGAAAAAAAAAAAAGTCCATCTAGTCAGAGCTATGGTTTTTCCAGTAGTCATGTATGGATGTGAGAGTTGGACTGTAAAGAAAGCTGAACTTCGAAGAATTGATGCTTTTGACTGTGGTGTTGAAGAAGACTCTTGAGAGTCCCTTGGACTGCAAGGACATCCAACCAGTCTATCCTAAAGGAACTCAGTCCTGAGTGTTCACTGGAAGGACTGATGTTGAAGCTGAAACTCCAATATTTTGGCCACCTGATGCGAAGAGCTGACTCATTTGAAAAGAATTTGATGCTGGGAAAGATTGAAGGCGAGAGAAGAAGGGGACGACCGAGAATGAGATGTTTGGATGACATCACTAACTCGATGGACATGAGTTTAAGTAAACTGTGGGAGTTGGTGATGAACAGGGAGGCCTAGCATGCTGCGGTCCATGGGGTCGCAGAGTTGGACACGACTGAGCAACTGAATTGAACTGAAGCTTAAAATAGACATGGCATTCACATTTTAATAAAATAGTTTTTATAACACTAGTTAGTTAGTGTTAGTCAGTTGTGTCCAACTTTTGTGACCCTGTGGACTCTAGCCTGCCAAGCTCCTAAGTCTATGGGATTTCCCAGGCCAGAATACTGGAGGGGGTAGCCATTTCCCTCTCCAGGGGATCTTTCTGACCCAGGGGTAGAACTCGGGCAGATTCTTTACCATCTGAGACACCAGGAAAACCTATGGACACCAGATTATTGGAGGGAAGATGAAGCCAGTAGGATAGAGGTTACTAGCGCTCCCCAAACCTTATTTGTTTTATTTTCTCAAGCACATGGAAGGGATTTCAGTCTGCCTTGAGTTTATTTTGGGCCTTTGTAAATAATAGGATAGCAGTATCTGAAGGAGGTTGAGATTATGTGTGATTTCTTCACACTCTGTGAACAGCATTCTAAAGCCACATGCCTAGCATGCAGTAGAAATAAGTAGAAAAACACTGCAATATATTTTAAAAATACAGATATAAGACACTATATTAGATGAATATGATTGGATTGCAGGGAAGAAAGAGAAGATGTGTAGAAAATGAGGTCAGAGGGTAAGCCAATAGTCACATCATATGGACTGTTACAGGTCTTGGCAAGGCTTTTGTAGAATAGATGAAGTAAGAAAGGAGGTTCTTGCTAGAGATGAGAAGAACTTGCATACATTATATCATTTAAATATCTGCATCAGATTTGTCCTTAATTTTGTTATTCTACCCAAAATTAATTTCTCATATTTGAAAGATTTTGCTACCTTCATTTTACCATTGAGTCAACCCTCAAAATTTTATATACCTTCAGTATGCAGAATTTTTAAGTCATTTCTTGGAAATTAACTAGAGCTTTACAGTTACAAAATTTCATAGATTTCTTGTTTTCAACCTCTTTACATGGTTAGAAAATGGTAATTTGCTTCTTGGTATTCTTTTGCTCTAGATCATTGTGATACAACAATTTTTCCAAGTTCAGGGTTATAATCTGATATGTTTCTGTCTTCTCATTTTATTCTCAGAACTTCTGTTTTTACTTTTTATTTTTCTTGTATTTTCTGGAACTTTTATAATCTGAACATATAGCTAACAAATATCACAAAAAGTAAAATTTTAGATTTGAAAATCTTTTTATTTCTTGAGTTTCAAGAAATATTTCCAGCTGACTGATGAATAATTCACCTACTTCATATGACAATATAATCAAAACTAAATCATTTACTTATATATATTTCCTAATGTGCCTAAACCCTTAATTTTTTACCTCTCGGTGCATAGCTTTGATCATAAGGTTTTATATAATCTGTAGTTAAATCATGCAACATTTTTGTTTTATTTTTAGTCTTATCAGTGGGATATTTCACTACATAAAAATTAAGTATTAATATTTATTTTCAAAATTTTATATAACTTATAATTAAAACATTAATTACAGGTACATTACCTCAGAAATTATTTTATATAATGTGTTACTTTCCTCTGCAACTAATTATCACAGATTTAGTGACTTAAAACAACACAGACTTATTGTCTTACATTGCTCAAGGTCAGAAGTCTGAAATGGGTGTTACTGGGCTAACATAAAGGGGCTTGCAGGACTATGCTACATTCTGGTGACTCTAGTAGAAAAAGTTATCTCCTTGACTTTTCCAGAACTACCGTATTCTTTGGCTCAGGATGCCATTCTCTACTTTTTAAGGCAGCAACTTTTTTTTTTTTTTTAGCCACTACTTTATTAATTCAGTTGTTATTGTTTTTCATAATACATATATTTGGGTTACTTAAGCCACTGCACTTTTTTAAGCAAGATACAAGCAAGGATTGCCTTTATTATATAATGAACTTTTTAAAATTTTAACATCATATTAATTTGTTTATTTTAATTTCTCTCTGTCTACCTATATAATTTTCAGTTTCTTTTCTCTCTTAGGATGTTAAAAAATACTGAATAAGTTCTCTGTGCTATACAGTGGGTTTTGTTGCTGTTGTTGTCTATTTTATATTTAGTAGTGTGTATATATTAATCCCAAACTCCTTAATTTATTCCCCCAACCTGTCCCCTTGGGTACCAATAAATTGTGTGGGTGGGTGGGGGGGTTATTTCTGTTTTGTATCTAAGTTCATTTATATTATTATTATTATTTTTAGTTCCCACATATAAGTGATATCCTAAGACATTTGTTTTTCTCTGTCTGGTTTACTTCAGCTGATATAATCTCTTAAGTCTGTCCATGTTGCTGCAAATGACAGTATTTCATTCTTTATAGTGGCTGAGTGATACTCCTTTGTATACACATATATAAGAGTAACCAAAGCAATCTTGAGAAAGAAAAACAGAACTGGAGAAATCAGGCTGTTTGACTTCAGACTATACTACAAGTGGAACAGGATAGAAAGCCGAGAATAAACCTAAGCACCTATGGTCTATTAAGCCTGCAACTATAAGTTATTTATCTCATTGCCATCTCTCTTTTACTATGTTTCTTTCTTCTATTTTTGTCAGGACACTGGGTTTACCTGGATTATCCAAGATAATCTCTTCATTTTGAGGTAATTTCAGTGGCAATCTAAATTCCATCTGCAATCTTAATTCCTTTTTGACATATAAACTAAAATGGTCACAATTTCCAGAGATTAGAAGGTAGACATCTGGGCAGTCATGATTCTGTTTATCAGAGATACATATATTTTTTTAAATATCAGGAGACATTTAAAAGTGAAATTCTTAATTCAGAAAGATTATATAACACAAGGAAATGGTTGTATAATTACTCTACTAATATAGTTAATTTAAAATGAGAGACACTAGACAGTGTCCTAACAATCTTAATGTTGCTTCTAAAACTTTAAACAATGTCAAAACTTCAAAATTATTGCTGTCATTTCATAGTATTTTAAATGCTTGAGTTTTGTTTACAATGTGTGGTTTTTCCTACATATTGCAAATGAAATATGACCTATTCATTAACAGAATCTAGAAATTACTTTTTTAAGAACATGGTTTATATCAATATTTCACAGCTAAGTTTTTAAACATCGGTGAAGACACTATTTCCAGAAATTACAAAGAATTTATGATAAAATGATTTTTGAAAAATTATCTTTAAATAGTCAAAGGAAATATAAATCAGGGAACAAAGAAAAATAAAACTGCAAGTGTTATTTGTTATAGTGATGTGGCAGCAAATGTATTTCTGTTAAATTATTTTACTTAAAAGCTTCTTGTAAAAAACTAAGAATACATTTTAAACTCTGAAAAGTGAAATTTGATAATGCATGAGTAAATGAACCTATGCTTTGAATATATTTTGTTAGAGATATTGAAGAACACTTTACAAACTGTAAAATGCACTCTTTGATATGAAATTCTATAAGTTTTAACACAAACAGTTATGCCACCTAAATCAAGACACATGATACTCCCATCTCTCCAAAATAGCCTGTATTCTCCCTGTACCCAACACTCTAACACTGGACTCAGAAAACCTGAATTGTTAACTCAATATTTGATTTTGCATTTTCCAGAATGTCATATAAATGGAGTTCTATAGACTATAGCATTTTTATTCTGACTTCTTTTGCTTAGCATATTGTCCTTGAGAATATTCTATATTGTTGCATGTATCAATAGCTCTTTCTTTCTTTCATTTTTTCCTGCTGGGAAATGTTTATTTGCCACTAAGTCACCCAAGCATGCTACAATTACAAGAAAGGTACAGGTCATTTCTCCTTTCCATAATTCAATGTCCACAGCACCTTCTCAATTACAACTATTAGAAAGGAAAGTTAAAAAAAAAAGCCATATTTTACGGATCTCAGACTTGTCTTTACAATTTAGCTCCAATCTTACCATCTTCAAAAAGCAGTTCTCCTGTCAAATTTAGCTAAAAGTTCTAGCCAACTGGTGAGAAGATGGCATTTGCTAGCCCATGGCAATTCCTTTTTGATTTGTCCTAGCTAGTTAGTGCAGAACAGAAGAATGAGGCTTAGATTGCAGGGCTGGGGCTGAGGGGGCAGCAAGGGCTTATTTCGCCCAGGAAAAGATGGCCTCTGAAACTTGATGGGAAAGCTGAACTGGAGAGACTGGGGGAAGGGCCCAGGCCCTGCATTCAGTCAGAGTCACTGCTGGAGGAGGAGGAGGAGGAGGAATGCTTGCCATGTTTATGGTGTTTCTGCTGCTTTTTAAGAGTTTTCTTCATTTTCTCCTGCACCTTCTGGTCAATCACTGTTCCTGATCCTACTATACCAGGAACCAATGAATTCACAGGACACATGCCAGGGCCAGGTGGTGGGTATGGAGAGGGGTAGGGATCTGAGGACTGGCATCCTGGATATCCTGGCTGTGGTATAGGATGACAGGGTCTGCAAGGGGGCAAGCCTGGATTCCCCTCGTGTGCTCCTGGGGGAGTGGGAAAGGGGTCTGGAGGAAAGGTAGGGTTGGCAGGTAACAGATGGGAAGGATTGCAGCCTCCAGGATACCCACCGTTAATGGGGTGTGGATATGGCCCTGGCTGCCCAGCATTGGGATTCCACATGTTCAAGTGCTTCCTTCAGCCCAGGAATGGAGAAAGAAGGAAACTGGGGTATCCAGATGTCTGGTCACCCTTACACCACTGCCTGGGTGGACTTGTTCCTTTTTGGCCTCAATAACTCATTTTTTATTCCTGACTAATACACTTTTTGTAGGAATGTACCACAATTTGTTTATCTCGTTTATCCATGACTAGTTGTAGGACACTAGGTTGTATTCAGGTTTGGTTAAGATACTTGTAAACAGTTCTATACAGGGATTTTTGTGTGTGTGTGAATATATATCTTCATTTATTTTGGATAAATACCTATGAGGAGATTTTCTAGGCCATAAAGCAAGTGAATTTTTATTTTAATAAGAAACTTTGAAAGGGCTTAACAAAGTGGCAGTAGCATTTTACATTCTCAAATCAGTGTATGAGAGTTGCAGTTCCTCCTCATTTTTGTTGCTATGATTATCTTCAACACATATTGTATGAATAGTCTATAGAAAACAAAGGCTTGAGTTTTTTCTAAGGATTGGACTCCTGAGGAGGGTTGTCCTCAGTTTTGGAAGGTTACTTGACAGTCATCCATCGTTGCACTCCTTTCCCTTCCCTTCCCTTTTGCAGTGTTTAAATTATGTTGCTTGTGTCCATGCCTTGTTCCGACAGCACACAAGCATATTTCTTAGTTCACTCTAACCTCAGTCATATGGATACCCTTTGTCAGGGCCTCTGAAAGAGCTTTGTTAGAATCCTGCCCCCATCTCTGAGACAGCCAATCTCTACTTGTGTCTATATTTGATATTAGGTAGTTGTTTCTCACCTTTTTTCTAGCTGTAGAGATATATGCTTGGTGTAGGTGTAGGATTTGATTTTCAGAATCATCACCTGCTCATTCTCCAGAGTAGACATTAGCTTCTAGTCTTCTGTTAGCGGTATTAATTTTTCTCTCTACCATGGAGGTGATTTTTATGCCTGGATGTCAGAGCAACTTTTTTCTTTTTGCCTAATCACCAAAGAAGAATCACTATGGTCTCCTAGGCTACATGCAGACTTTCTCATAAGCTCCAGGTAGAGGGATCTAGGAAAGAATATTCTTTCTTAATAGTATACAAATGAGTGCAAATTCTGTTTGTGTTTAGATTAACTGATTTTTTTAAATTTTAAATCAGGCTGACATACTAACTTAATAATAGTTTTGGTAGTCTGTCCAAATTTTAATTTATTCATATCTTGACTGGCAGCCAGAACCTCTCCCTTCCATCTTGTCCTACAGGTGAGACAGCCATCTCTCCCTGAGGAGGCTCTCTCTCTTTGAAATTCATGTTACTCAGTAATCTATCTATGTTTTTAAAAATGTGTTTATTTTTTAATTTATAATTTAATTTTTATTATATATTGGAGTATAGTTGATTTGCAATGTTGTGTTATTCTCAGGTATAAAGCAAAGTTATACATACACATACATCCATTTTTTTCAGATTATTTTTCCATATAAAATATTTTTAAAATTTATTTTTAATTGATGAGTAATTGCTTTACAGTATTGTGTTGGTTTCTACCAAACATCAGCATGAATCAGCCATATGTGTACCCATGTCCCCTCCGACTAGAACTCCCTCCCCCCTCCCTCCCTATCCCACTCCTCTAGGTTGTTATCGAGCCTCAGTTTGAATTCTCTGGGTCATACAACAAATTCCCATCAACTATCTATTTTGCTTATGGTAATGCATACTTTGTTACTCTCTCCACATCCCACCTCCCCTTCCTCTATACTCCAGCCGTGTCCATAAGTCTGTTCTCAATGTCAGTGTCTTCACTGCTACTGTGCAACTAGATTCATCAGTACCATCTTTCCAGATTCCATTTAGTATATGATATTTGCTTTTCTTTTTCTGACCCCACTCAGTGTAATAGGCTTTAAGTTCATCCCTCTCATTAGGACTGACTCAAATGCATTCTTTTATGGCTGAGTAATATTCTGTTGTATATATGTACCACAGCTTCTTTATCCATTCATCTCTCAATGGATATCTAGGTTGCTCCATGTCCTAGCTATCATAAGTAGAGTTGCAATGAGTATCGGGGTACTTGTGTCTTTTTCAATTTTGGTTTCTTCAGGATATATGATCAGTAGTGGGATTGTTGGGTCATATGGTTTTATTCCTTTTTTTTTTCTTTAAGGAATTTCCACACTATTCTCCATAGTGGTTGTATCAACTTACACTCCCACTAACAGTGCAAGAAGTTTCCCTTTTCTCCACACCCTCTCCGGCTTTTATACTTTGTACATTTTTGGATGGTGTGGATTGATATCGCATTGTAGTTTTTATTTGCATTTCTCTAATAATGAGTGATGTTGAGCATCTTTTCATGTGTTTATTAACTACCTCTATGTCTTCTTAGGATAAATGACTGTGTAGGTCTTTTTTCTCACTTTTTGATTGGGTGGTTTGTTTTTCTGGTATTTATTTGTATGAGCTGCTTGTTTATTTCTGAAACTAATTGTACATTAGTTGCTTCATTTGCTATTATTATTTCCCATTCTGAGGGTTGTCTTTATACTCTGTTTATAGATTCCTTTGCTGTGCAAAACCTTTAAGCTTAATTAGGTCCCACTTTTTAATTTTTGTTTTTATTTCCCTTACTCTGGGAGGATCCTGCTATGATTTAATTGGAGTGTGTTCAGCCTATATTTTCCTGTAAGAATTTTAAAGTTTCTGGTCTTAAATTTAGGTCTTTAATCCATTTTGACTTTATCTTTGTGTATGGTGTGTTAGAAAGTGTTCTAATATCAATCTTTTACACAGTTGTCTAGTTGTCCCAGCAGCACATATTGAACAGATTGTCTTTGTTCCATTGTATATTCTTACCTCCTTTGTCAAAAATAAGTTATCCATTAGTGTGTGAGTTTATTTCTGGACTTTCTATTCTATTCCATTGGTCTATATTTCTGCTTTTGTGCCAGTACCATAGTGTCTGGATGACTATTGCTTTGAAGAATAGTATAAATTCAGAAAGACTGATTCCTCCAGCTCCAGTTTTCTTGAATAATAGTGGTGAGAATGGACACACTTGTCTTGTTCCTGATCTTAAGAGGGAATGCTCTCAGTTCTTCACCACTGAGAATAATGTTTGTTGTGGGTTTATCATATATAGCCTTTATTATGTTGAGGTAGGTTCCTTCTATGCCCATTTTATTATAAATGAATGTTGAATTTTGTCTAAAGCTTTTTCTGCATCTATTGAGATTATCATATGGTTTTCATCTTTCAATTTATTAATATGGTGTATCACACTGATTGATTTTAGTACATTGAAGAATCCCTGCATCCCTGGGATAAACCTGATTTGATCAAGGTGTATGATCTCTCTAATGTGTTATTGAATTCTGTTTGCTAGAATTTTGCTAAGGATATTTGCATCTACGTTCATCAGTGATATTGGCCTGTAATTTCTGTGTGTGTGTGACAACATATTAAAAAGCAGAAACATTACTTTGTCAACAAAGGTCTGTCTAGTCAAAGCTATGCTTTTTTCTGTAGTCACGTATGGATGTGAGAGCTGGAACATAAGAAAGCTGAGCACTGAAGAATTGCGCTTTTGAACTGTGGTGTTGGAGAAGACTCTTGAGTCCCCTGGACTTCAAGGAGATCAAACCAGTCAATCCTAAAGAAAATCAGTCCTGAATATGCATTGGAAGGGCAGATACTAAAGATGAAACTCCAATAGTTTGGCCACCTGATGCAAACAGCTGACTCATTGGCAAAGACCCTAATGTTGGGAAAGATTGAAGGCTGAAGGAGAAGGGGATAACAGAGGATGAGATGGTTGGATAGCATCACTGACTCAATGGACACGAGTTTGAGTATAGTCCGGAGTTGGTGATGGACAGGGAAGTCTGGAAAGTTGCAGTCCATGGGATTGCAAAGAGTCAAGATATGACTGGGCGACTGAACTGAACTGACTGTCTTTGGTTTTAGTTTCAGGGTGATGGTGGCCTAGCAAAATGACTTTGGAAGTGGTCCTTCCTCTGCTATTTTTTGGAAGACTTTTAGAAAGATAGGTATTGGATCTTCTCTAAATGTTTGATAGGATTCACCTATGAAACCATCTGACACTGGGTTTGTTTTTCAGGAGATTTTTTTAACACAGTTTTTATTTCAGTGCTTGTAATTGGCTTGTTCATAATTTCTATTTCTTCCTGGTTCAGTCCTTTCTAAGAATCTATCCATTTCTTCTAGGTTGTCCATGTTGCTGGTGTATATTTGCTTTTAATAATCTCTTATGATCCTTTGTATTTCTACATTGTCTGTTGCAACCTCTCCTTTTTTATTCCTAATTTTGTTGATTTGATTTTACTCCATTTTTTCTTGATGTCTGGCTAATGGTTTGTCAATATTGTTATCTCAAACAACCAATTTTCAATTTTATTAATCTTTACTACTGTTTCCTTTATTTCTTTTTCACTTATTTCTACTCTGATATTTATGATTTTTTTTTCCTTCTACTAACTTTGGAGTTTCTTGTTCTTCCACTTGTTTTATTTTAGGTGTAAAGTTACATATATTCAATATTTTTCTTGTTTCTTGAGTTAGCATTGTATCACTATAAACTTCCCTCTTAGAACTTCTTTTGCTGCACCCGGTAGGTTTTAAGTTGTTATGTTTTCATTTTCATTTGTTTCTAAGAATTTTTTGATTTTCCTTTTGATTTAACCTGTTCATAATTTAGAAATGTATTGTTTAATCTCCATGTGTTTGTATCTTTCCAGTTGTTTTTTTTTTTTTTTCCTGTAATTGATGCCTAGTCTCATAGCTTTGTGATCAGAAAAGATGAATTTAATGAGGGGTGATTTGTGACCCAAGATGTAATATCTTGTAGAATGTTTCATATGCATTTGAGAAGAAAGTGTATTCTTCTTCTTTTGGGTAGAATGCCCTTAATATTATCAATTAGGATCATTTGTTCTAATGTTTCATTTAAGATTTGCATTTCCATATCAGTTTTCTATTTTGATG